GGAGATGCAAAAATGCCAAGAATACTTGCTGCCTGAAGATGAGGTAAAGTATTAGTCCACATCCAGGGGGCTTGGTGGAGACAGCTCAGTCACCTAGTGTGAAATACAGCCTTTGCCTTCCTGGTCCATGTCCCCATGTTGAAATGTAGCTTTTTCTGACTTGGGTTTGAAGGGAAGACCGTATCTTTTAAAGCAGGAGTAACGGCTCAGATGCCTACAGGAAGTATGCAAATATATTAATGTATGAAGCATGGGAATAAGAGTAAGTGGTAAGCTAATTTCTAAACCTCCACGGAGACAAAACAAAATACCTCCATAGATGGCCCCAAACTAAAAGCCTACAGTTTGCCACCCTTCCAGAAGAAAAGGCAGTCTGTGGTTACATAGTTAAGGCAAGGTTTTGTCTCTCCTGTTTTCTTTTCTTTTTTTTTTGCGGTACGCGGGCCTCTCACTGTTGTGGCCTCTCCCGTTGCGGAGCACAGGCTCCGGACGTGCAGGCTCAGCGGCCATGGCTCACGGGCCCAGCCGCTCCGCGGCATGTGGGATCTTCCCAGACCGGGGCACGAACCCGTGTCCCCTGCATCGGCAGGCAGGCTCTCAACCACTGCACCACCAGGGAAGCCCTCTCCTGTTTTCTTGCTTACATCCTTCTGGAGAAAAATAATTAAGCTAAGATAACAGTGATATCTTGGAATTCTAGAAGCTGCCTCACCTACAGTGGGAAGCACACAACTGTGAGAATGTGTAAACAAAGGGCCACAATTAGTTGGTAGCAACCAGCAACTCTATACCATCATCTCAAAGCTCCCATTTTATGCTAAATCTTAAGATGTTGATAAAGTAGACAGGAGGGCAGTGTGCGGCAAAGTATTCTAGCTGGTGACAACGTAGTATTGGCACCAGAAGGGGAAGAATGAACAGAACTTTCATAGTGTTACGATTTACAGCATGGACTTGGAAGACGGTCAAAATGCAACAAGGGAAATTGAGGTAAATATAAGAATCTCAAATGGGAGGAGTTTAATATGGACAACTGGTTATAGAGGTGCTAGGCTGAGAAATCAAGCCTATGGTGAGTCACTTCAGCATTTGCAACAGCAGAAAGGTACTACTATCCCTGGGGCTAGAGGGACAAAGACAGGAAGGAGGTAACCTTCCCAAAGCCTGGGATATGGACCGCGCAGCAGAAGCTGGGGTCGTGGTGGACCTGCCTGTGGAAGCCAGGCCCATGGATGAAGTAGCTTTCTGGCCAAAATTGAAAGCACGGAGGAGATGCCTTCTGAAGTTCAGGAAGATAAATATCCTGGCTTCTCACCAAGTCCTGCCTTCTCATCTTCTACCAGTGCATCCCTTTGGCAAATCTACATGGTACCTGGAGGTCAGGAGTGGCTGGGAAATGTACACAGTTCCCTACAGCTCAGGGCACTGCCATTTACTAGCTGGCTGGCCTAAGGAAAGTCACTCAACCTCTCTGAGCCTCAGTTTCCTCATCTGTAAAATGGGATAATGCGTATCCTTGCCTATATAACTTAAATAACAGTGGTCATGACAAGATTAAAATGGCTGCAAAGGAGAGCGGCTGAGTCACACTTAGACTCTGTGAAGATAAAGAAGAGTGGAAATCCTGCAAGGGAACCCATGCCACAACCTTTGCCCTACTTTGTTATTGGTAACCAGACCTCATTGGTTATTCTTCCCCAGACCACATGGGTGATCCGTGGTAATTTGCAGTTTACAAGTCAATTTTATATCATTAACTCATAGGGCTTTCACTGTGGACTAAACAGGACATTGATTACTCTCTGTGCTTTACTGCTGAGGTACAGATGCTCAAAGGGCTTAAGGAATTTATTCAGGTAAACCCAAATAATAAATGATAGAGCTGAGAGGTAAATGGGAACGTCTCACTCCAACCTGGACCTCTGCACTCCACATAGTACTGCCCCTGGACCAAAAACTTTGATCTACCAAATCTCTGCTCCATATTTTAAAACCAGAGTTTAAAAAATAAATAAAGGATTAGAGGAGATGAGAGGAAAGTCTGACATGAGCGAAAATAGTTGAATTACTCAAGTCTCTCCTCTCTCCACCTAATCAACATAGAAAAATGCTGACTCACAGCAGGGAGAAAACCCAGCACATCCAGTCAGCAGGGTCTGCATCTCCAAGCCCTGTGAGTCTAGGCCCTCTCCGCCTGGGGAGTCGCTCCCGTTCTTGTCAATGTCAGACTCACAGGCATGTGTGAATTATTCAATGGTAAACGTGTAACTGCTATTGCTCGAGAGGCCAAAAGTATTGGTGACATAAAAAAAGCTATAATAAGTCAAAAAGAAGGCAAATCAGAGTTACCAGTGTCTCCCCAGGGCAGAGAAGTGAACAGTCTCACTCTCCTATTGTTTGAATTTTTACCACAAATAAGAGTAACTTTTATAAACATCTTAAAATACAGAAATGTTCCTCAAACTTCATTTTGCGAGTGGGGTGACTACCACTGCCATGGCCCGCTCCGCAGTCCCCAGTTTCCAAATCAGCTGACAAGAAAAAGTGGCTTTCTCTCCCAAAGAACCTCTTATGAAATAGTGATGTCGCCTTGGAAAGCCCTCCCTGCTTTGAAGGGACAGGTTAGACCCTGGGTTCACCGTGGAGGTCTGCTCTCCAAGTGGGAAAGTAAGTCCTCACCGGTAACCAGAGCTCTGAGGACTCCAGCCCCGTGCCTGGGCGGAGAGCTGGTCCTAATTCTCTGTGACACCCCTGCAGCTATCTCTTTTACCCCCTGTGAGGCCGAGTGAGACTCTTTACCCAGTCAGCACCTGCCCACCCGGAATTAATCTCCTTCCCCGGTTAAACATGTCTGCATTGGGGAATCAAATTAGCGCAGCCTCTGTGGAAAACGGTATGGAGCTTTCTCAAAAAAACTAAAAACAGAACTACCATATGACCCAGCAATTCCATTCCTGGGTATATATTCAAAAAAAGCTAAACCCACTAATTTGAGAAGATACATACACCCCAGTGTTCATAGCAGCATTATTTACAATAGCCAAGACATGGAAGCAACCTAAGTGTCCATCAACAGGTGAACAGACAAGGAAGATGTGGTATATGTATATAATGGAATACTACTCAACCATAAAAGGAACAAAATAATGCCATTTGCAGCAACATGGATGGACTTGGAGGATATCATGCTAAGTGAAATAAGTCAGACAGAGAAAGACAAATACTGTACAATATTGCTTATTTGTGGAATCTAAAAAATACAACAAACTAGTAAACATCACAAAAAAGCAGACTCACAGATATAAAGAACAAACTAGCAGTTACCAGTGGGGGGAGGGGAGGGGGGAGGGGCAGATAGGGAGAGGGGAGTAAGGGGTACAAACTATTATGTATAAAATAAGCTACAAGGATATAGTGTACAATATGGGGAATATAGCCAATATTTTATATTAACAACATTATAATACAAGGAATATAGCCAGTATTTTATGTTTTTAAAAGTGTGACTCACTATATTGTATACCTGTAACATATAATATTGTACATCAACTATATTTCAACTAATTAACTAATTAAAATAAAAATGTCCACTTTGTCTCAAATCCTGAACTGATGAGGGAAGTTAGATTTTAAAAGTATGAAGTGTCTACCACTCGAAATTCTTCTTAAATCTGCTCTCCAAACTTGCCTTTCAGCATGAATTACCTTTCTTTTACATTTCTACAGCCTTGTGCTTGAACCCTTATTATGGCCCTTATTAAAGTCCATTCTCTATGGTCTATTCGATTCTATGCCCGTCTACATGGGAGTTCCCTGAGAGAAAGAGCCAGAACTGGCCCCTCTTTGTATTTTATCCCTTCTATCCCCTCACCTACCCCAAGCACATGGTACTTTATCTATAGCAGGAGTTCAGAATTTGCTTACAGAATCCGATAGGTACAAGAGGATCCTGAACCCACAGTCCTAGATCTAAGACACCCCAGAACCCTGGTGGGCCCATTACAATTGCTTTCACACAAAGCAACAGCCAGCCAACACCATGATGATTTCAGCTTCCAAGGAAATAATCTATCGAGTATAACCCACTGATTGCATTTCTTAACAGTTAAGCCTAATAAGTTTTTTAAAAAGCAGCTGGCCCCCTAAATATTGAATCTATATCCAGTGGAAATCACCTGACCCCTGGACTTCCTTGAATGCTCACGACACAGGAGTAACCAGAGGTTGTAAGTGTATCTTCCGAAGCTCCTCATTTGTATAGGGAGTGTCGCCAATGAGGAGGAGATGTCAGTCCATCAAATGTATCACCCCAACATCCGCTTCCTCTCATAAAGGAAAATGACACACCTTCTTGACTCATGACTTGGTGGTTTTCAGACAACAATGAAGTACATAAGCTGTGCTTCACCCAAGGGGCAACACCCCGTCACAGGCCAAGGGGCATAAGGGCAGGGTCTCTGGAATGTAGCCCACTTTTCCTCCCTTCCCACACTGCTTAGAAGACTGATCCTGTTTCAGAGCAATTTCAGGCATATCCGTGCAGGCTCAGGGTGTGGCCTAGCCCCAGTTTACGCCTAGATTCTGAATATACCAGTCTTGGACTGGACTGATGTGGTTCCCAGTGGCCCTCGGGCTCTCCCAGGACTTTAGGAAGAGGCAAACGCTTAGAAGGACCACAGTGGAGACAGGTGAGCTCCCAGCTGCATGTCCTAGGACTCCATACGCAGGAGCAGGCAGGTCTTTCCCACCTGTGCTGGCAGCCAGACCTGAGCCAGACCTACACGAGCACCCAGAGCTCAGAGGCATCAGGATAGCCCTGCGCTCGCATCAAGCTCTGTGTCCCCCTTAGGTTTGTAATTAACTCCTGGGAGGAATGGGCGTGGTCTGCTTTGTAAGATACGTTGGCATGAAGCATCAGGAAATACATCATATTGTCATAGCTGTAATATTACAGGAATTGCAGCTTTTGAATGCTTCTCCCTGTGGCTGTGGACCTGGAGCCTTTATAAAGTGAGCCAGTGCACCCTCTGGTCTAGTCGCAGCTGCGAAGCCGGCCAGCCATGAGGGTCTACTACCTTCTCTTTGCGTTGTTCTTCTTGTTCTTGCTGCCTGTTTCAGGTAAGAGGGGCTGGGAAATGAGAGGGCTGAAAGGATTGAGAATATATAATTCAGAGTCAGCCCTCTCCATTCTTCTGGGAATTTTAGACCAAATAGATTTATTGTCTGGGAACTAGACATAACCAATTTTTTTCTTTCTGACAAAGACCATTAAGAACCTTAAAGTAAGGGTCTCGATCTCTTCTGATTCACTCGTAAGAGAAAAACCAGATCACAAAAGCCACCCCTTCCCGGGAAGGCCGTTATACCTGTTAATGAGACAGGAGGAAAGTGATGTAAAACTTTAATACCAAGAGGAAAAATTGACAATCTGAGAACAGAAGCACAGACTCCCCTTTTATTAGCTTAGTGGTTGGTGGTAGAGTCTTTTGGCCTCTAGAGAGTCCCGGGGGACCACCGTGGCCCCGGCCTCCCAGGTGTCAGTTCACGAGGGGGGCTGCCCGTGGTCATGCCACTTTCTCAGCACTCCGGCGGTTTATGGCTGAGCTGAACCCATGGACACATTGTTAGTTGCTTAGTCCCACCTTGTACTTTACTCCTGATGGTATAGAAAAAGGAAAAAGAAATAAAAGGCCACAGATCAGTTACGTGAGGAATTCCAAAAGCCTAGGTCTTGCACTTCCTAAAACCTTCCCGTGCTTTCCGTTTCTTCATTGCAGGCAGTGGAAGAACCATAAATATATTACAAAGGTATTATTGCAAAATGAGAGGCGGCCGGTGTGCTCTGTTTGGCTGTCTTCCAAGGGAGATACCCATAGGCCCTTGTTCCCAAAGTGGTCGAAAATGCTGCCGAAGGGAGAGATGAAAAATCCAGAAGCGCGATGAGAATGTTGCCAAGTGTGAAAATGCTCCCTCGAAGTCTATAGAAGCCAAATCAAATTAAAGATTTTTCACAAAAAGAATAGAAGGTGGATTATTTTTCTTTCTTTTAATTCTGGTTATTGTGCTAGTTGTTACCAAACAGGCAACTTAGGAAGTGTTGGTGACTCACCTTTAATTCAAATAAAGTATTATCTCTAGAGCAATCCACAAGAGGATCTAAACTGATGTTCCAAGGGTTATCAGATTTTATTCCTCTTTTGCAAATTTTGCACCCCAGTGACACAGGACTCCTCGTTCTTCCTGAAATATTTTCTTCACTTTCTTGTCACCCATTTTGAGTTTCCAGTTCATCTATATGCCATAGCCTCTCCCCATCAGATCTATGTCTAATTTTTTGATGATGGCCATTCTGACTGGTGTGAGGTGATACCTCATTGTGCTTTTGATTTGCATTTCTCTAATGATTAGTGATGTTGAGCATCCTTTCATGTGTTTGTTGGCAATCTGTGTATCTTCTTTGGAGAAATGTCTATTTAGGTCTTCCGCCCATTTCTGGATTGGGTCGTTTGTTTTTTTGATATTGAGCTGCATGAGCTGCTTATATATTTTGGAGATTAATCCTTTGTCAGTTGCTTTATTTGCAAATATTTTCTCCCATTCTGAGGGTTGTCTTTTCATCTTGCTTATGATTTCCTTTGCTGTGCAAAAGCTTTTAAGTTTCATTAGGTCCCATTTGTTTATTTTTGTTTTTACTTCCATTTCTCTAGGAGGTGGGTCAAAAAGGATCTTGCTGTGATTTATGTCACAGAGTGTTCTGCCTATGTTTTCCTCTAAGAGTTTTATAGTATCTGGCCTTACATTTAGGTCTTTAATCCATTTTGAGTTTATTTTTGTGTATGGTGTTAGGGAGTGTTCTAATTTCATTCTTTTACATGTAGCTGTCCAGTTTTCCCAGCACCACTTATTGAAGAGGCTGTATTTTCTCCACTGTATATTCTTGTCTCCTTTATCAAAGATAAGAGAGTGTGGAGAAAAGGGAACCCTCTTGCACTGCTGGTGGGAATGTGAATTGGTACAGCCACTATGAATAACAGTATGGAGGTTCCTTAAAAAACTAAAAATAGAACTACCATACGACCCAGCAATCCCACTACTGGGCATATACCCTGAGAAAACTATAATTCAAAGAGTCATGTACCACAATGTTCATTGCAGCTCTATTTACAATAGCCAGGACATGGAAGCAGCCTAAGTGTCCATTGACAGATGAATGGATAAAGAAGATGTGGCACATATATACAATGGAATATTACTCAACCGTAAAAAGAAACGAAACTGAGTTATTTGTAGTGAGGTGGATGGACCTAGAGTCTGTCATACAGAGTGAAGTAAGTCAGAAAGAGAAAAACAAATACCATATGCTAACACATATATGTGGAATCTAAAAAAAATGGTTCTGACGAACCTAGGAGCAGGACAGGAATAATGACGCAGAGTAGAGAATGGACTTGAGGACACGGGGAAGGGGAAGGGGAAGGGTAAGCTGGGGCGAAGTGAGAGAGTGGCATGGACATATATACACTACCAAACATGAAATAGATAGCTAGTGGGAGGCAGCCGCATAGCACAGGGAGATCAGCTCGGTGCTTTGCGACCACCTAGAGGGGTGGGATAGGGTGGGAGGCAGACGCAAGAGGGGAGAGATATGGGAACATATGTATACGTATAGCTGATTCACTTTGTTATACAGCACAAACTAACACAACATTGTAAAGCAATTATACTCCAATAAAGATGTAAAAAAAATCTACCTCTGAAACTTCAGTGCATCCCTCAGGGTTTTTCCCAGGTCCCTCTGAACACTTTACGCCTCAGAGAAGTGGGAAGCCTGACTCTTCCTCAACCATTCCACTGGTTTTCCTCTCATCCTTGCCTCTGTTCTGGCTGACCTCATGTCTGGCATATAATCTCTCCCCTAGCTTTGTCTCCAAACTTTAAGCCACCTCTCAGGGGCCATCTCAAATTCTACCTCCTTCTGGAAAACACAGCTTATTTCCCAAACAAATACAACCTTTCCCCTGACTCACCACAGGGCTCTGACTTAAGTATTCCATCTGAGTCTTGCTTAATTTTTGCATTGTATACATTTGCATATTCCCAATCTCCATATTTGGTCGAAGGATTTTGAAGGGCAAGGACCTTGTCTTAATCACTTCTGGTCTAAGTGTCTTGACACAAAAGCTGCTCAACAAGTGTTTAGTGAGTTGAAGTGCATTCCAAGGCATTGGAGCCATTGCTCCAACTAAGTATTTAGTGGTCTCTCGAGGCTGATACGGAATGATTCCAGACAATGGAATGGGAGGCTCATTGCCTCCGATTCTAGCCCTCAGTCAAGGCACTGGGCTCGTAGGAAGAGGGGAGCGGACACTCAAGGACAAGAGCTTGGACCCCACGATTCATTATAAAAAAAAAAAAAAAAACTGCTGCAGGAACCGCCCTCTTACAGTATACAGCTAAGGAACCAGCAAAATGTGTCAAACCACTGTTTCAGACACTGGACACAAGCAGTGCAGGACAATGATTGAGGAGAGATGAAAACAAGTGAGGTGAAACTTAGGAAGTCTCCAGCCTCTACAGGAGACAGATTTCCAGGCTAAAGCATAGAGAGGAAGAACCCAAACAGACCAGCAATTCTTCTGAGTCGAAGAGACTGGGATCAAAGTTCAAACAGCACAGGACATCCTCATTTCCAGGACAGAAAACCAGCAAGGGGCATCAGGATGGGGGTGGGGCTCCTGAGGGTATATGGGAAATCTCTGTACCTTTCATTCAGTTCTAAAACTGCTCTCAAAAATGAAGTCTATTATTTTCAAATAAGGTAAAAACTTTAAACATAATAACAACAACAAAATGCTAAGAAAATTCCTGAGCAGCAAACTTGTTCTATATTAAAAAAAAAATATTCAGGCAGAAGGAAAATGATACCAGATGGAAATTTGGCTCTACGTGATGGAATAAAGTGTGATGCTAAGATTCTAGACACTATCTTCAGGAGAGAGATGGTCATTTTGTTAGGGGAACCACTGACTGAAACTGTCCGCCTTGACCAGGTAGGATAGTAACCACCTGCATGAGTTATCTTACAACAGGAGGTCCTGATAAGGAACACAGAACTAACAAGCTACCACCAACAGGAGGAATTCGGGAAAGGTCAGAAGGAGAGAGGAGACACCAGTCCATACGTCCTACCAACCCCCAGAATCTTTCTCGTTGGAATCCATCTTGGCTGAGTGATGCGTGCACCACGAGGACGGACCCTGAGTCAGAGTGATGGGCCAGAGACAACCTGGAAACAAACCTCATTACATAAAACCCAAGACTGCGAGCCCTGTGGTACAGCATTTTCCTGGGTTCCATTACCCTGCTGCTCTCCACCGGGGCGCCCCTTCCCAATAAAGTCTCCTGCTTTGTCAGCAGGTGTGTCTCCTCGGACAATGCACTTCTGAGTGTTAGACAAGAGCCCACTCTCGGGCCCTGGAAGGGGTCCCCCTGATCCTATGTGACTGAGTGTTCTAAACCTCTTTGATATTTTTTTGACAAAACTTCCCAAATCAAATTGTAATGAAGTTTCTTTGACCTCTAGCTAACTTTGGGATGCTTCAAAGGGCCCCTGAAACATCCCAAAGAGAGATATTAAACTAATTAGGTTCATTTGGTATGTTAAATTAGATAGGAGGTGTTGTCAAATGAGTAATACGTCTTTTTAGGTTGTATTGTATGCTAAATGTTACTAATATAGATATTCTAGAAATTATATATGATTCCTAAAAATGTGATATATCCTGATAAAATGTTATCAGTCATAATTCTAGTTATTATCTTAAAGTGTTATATGTCACGACAGTAATCAAGTTTCTTTGTCAGTTGCATTGTAATCAGATTTTAAACGTACCTTCTTGTAATTCTTTTGTCATTGTCTTTAGTTATGGTTTTATTCTGATGCCTTTGCAAAAATGCTTCCTCTTCAAGAGGAAAGGACTTTTGGATAAATATAAGTTTTTGACTTTCAGACCAGAAAGCTGAACTGGGTAAGAAATTGAAAAATTCTAATGGGAAACCTGATGATTTCATAAAGTTGTTAATAAAAAGGATTAGTTACATAGGACTGAGTGAACTGGTGAATATGGTTATAAATTTTATGGTCTCTATCTGAAAAATTACTGGTTTAAATCTGTGTTTTCTAGGTGGAAGGAAAACCTTCCCCTCAAACTAATTATGACTTACGGTAATTTGGTAAATTATACATTTGTAAGCAGAAATGAAACATTTATCTTTTCTCTCTATCTGCTTCCTCCAGACATTGGAAACTCTTAGGTTCCCATCAGCTTTATCAGATAAATTAGGAAGGCCACTCACTAACAGGTACAGAAATCTCAAGGTATTTTGGTGATCTTGAAAAGGGATGAATTCACCTAAATCTGTTAAGCAAAATCTGTGATAAGCCCTTGGCTTGACTTTCCTAGCCTGGAGAGGTCTTTTAAAAGTTCAGCCTGAGACTTCTTATAAAAGATTCAGCAAAAAAAAAAAAAAGAGTCTGTATGATCAATTACAGTTATATAAATCATCAGGCCAAGTTTATTGAGATCAGACCTATTCTGCAAACAAATTAGTCTTAATTTCTTTATATTTGGTAAAAAATGCGGGTAATTTTAGAGAGAAAAAGATTATGTTTCAGTGAATATTAAATTCCAGTTTTGTTAATGGAGGTCTGAATTTACAAAGACTCACCTCTCATGTAGTTCCTTGCTGTTATGTTATATTAGTGTAAAGTCTAATTGAATTATTAAAAGGACACTCTAAGTCTGTTTCTGAAGCTTATCTCAGCAATCTGTCTTTGGATGAAGATCAGATGCCCCACGACCTGCAACCAGGGAATTATGCATACTGGAAAAGACATAATTTAAAGAACTATCTCCAACCTAGATGGAAGGACCCTTATCAGGTACTCTTACATAGCCCATGCACAGTGAAACTGAAGGGAATTGACTGTTGGATTAATTTCCACTCACAAAGGGCCCCT